TTCCATGTTCCTTTTCCGCAATTTCACAAGCTCTTCTTTGATTTTTCTCTTCCGATCGTGAAAAAAATCCGACAGGCCAAACATTTTGTTCCCAGAATCTTTGTTCTTGTTCTTGTTCTTGTATATGTCGATTATTCGTCGGATTTCTTCGAGATTTTGAGGCCATATTTCTGGCTCATCTGTGTTCTTGTCTTGTTTAGGGGGATAGATGATCATGCATGCACTAACATCACACAATGTGGTGAATTCATGCATTTTCCTCATCAAACCCTCCTTTCTTTTCTTGAATGTTATGTTTCTCGATTTCTCCTTGCTTATCAGTTCCATGTTCAATTTTGCGCGTCCCATCCTGTCACACATACAATAGATAAGATTTTAGCGGTTAATAAATTCTAACATGAGTAATGAGAAATCCTATGATACATACGATTGGATGCCAGTGAAAGGTTTTCTACGTTTAGACAATCTACGCAGAGTGAATCACTCCCTAAGGACCCCGAAATGGCTGCCACCCAATGGGCACACGAAGTGACTAAGATCACAAATGACAATAAATAATCAAAAGAAATATTAAAAATTCAAAATCGAGCCGCACTAGTCGGTTCTAATACGATACATTCAATTCCCATGTATGATTTTTATACAAATTTAAATAAAGTTCATTTCTATTGATTAAAGTACTGAAAAACTCATTAAAAAGCAATAAATCCCTGCAATCATTGAAGCAATTCATACAAAAAGTTAATAAAAGCAGAAATCTACAAGGTTTCTATAAGAAAAGAAGCATAACCTTAAATGGATCCTTAAAGAACACAAGTTCAGATTCAGAAACAGTGAATTAATTCTTTAATTATCTCTCTCTTAGTTCTTATTTATATGTAGAAGCTGCTTATAATTTGCAAAACATAGTATATATCCATAATCAATTTACCATATTTAATTGATTATTTACCAACAGAATCTTTAAATATTGCATTCCATATCGGCCATCTAAAAAGGCAAATTCGAGTCTTATTGTGGGATTCCATTCAAAGCTGTCAATTTTTCTCTCTTTCCTTTTTTGTGGATTTTGGAAAGGAAACCAAAAACACTTATCAACACTTTCCTTTTCTTATTATTTATGAAAAATTACTTATAAGTGATGAGGCAGATGTAAGAAAAAACCACCAAATCCTCAAACTAAACAAAAATCGTGTTTTAAATATGATTTTGAATCGCCAAAAAAGATTTGGTTTAGATTTTAATATTTTAAAAGCGATTTGAAACCCAAAAATTAAAAAAAAAATCATATCAAATCATTAAAAATCACACGATGTCTCACTTTAGTCAGGGGCGGAGCCAAGTATGGCCCAGGGTGGGCACAGGCCCACCCTGAACTTCTGGGCTCAATTTTTTTTTTTTAGTTATAAGCTAAGTCCCACTGTCCCAGCCCAA